AACTAACTTACCCTCCTTTTCCCTCCATTAATCTTCCCTATATAAACCCCTTTCCACATCCAAGCCCTTAGTTGGTGGAAACCGTCAGTCAACAGCGCCATTCGACTGTCACGCCCAACGCTGCTAGCGTCTCGCCTCCCCATCGCCGGCGCTCTTCTGTTGCACAGCTTGTGTGGTGCCCCGCCTTATCGTTTTACGCGTCGCCCCGCTTGTCATTTGACCGTCATCTTATCCGGCGTTTTCTCTGGAGTGAAGTGTTAATTGGAGGAATAAACTGCTGGTGTTTCTCCCCTGTCTATCGCTGTTGCAGTCAAGGAACACATGCGGGCCTAACACTAATGATTATTTGAAACACTTGGATCAGCGCCAATTTATAATTTGGTCTATTAACTATGCAACTAGCAGATTTTCCGACAACTCTGGTCAAAATGCTGCATCTTCTGGTAGTCAATCAACTGGCAATCCTGACATTGGTTAATTCTCCTGAAGGGATTACTAGCTCAATCGACGTAGCTGGAAAGGCTCTAGTCATTTTGGTGTTGTAAAATAACATCTTGTCCCGAACGCGGCTCTTTTCCCAGACCACACAATAAAGGCATCTTACTGAGCACAAAGCTTATTCGTGAAAAGAAGCGAAATCAAACTATGTTATTTTATTTATTCCACAAAAAAGTGCATTTTTTTGCGCTATCCTGGCAATTTTTCTACGGTTTTTTTTAATCCAAACAGCCTAGTTAACAGTCTGCTGGTTTATGCTGGCATTCGTTTCCATGCTTTTTTCGAAAAGAGGAATTCAAGGAGCAGTTTTAATCTTTTAATTCAAACAATAAAGATAAGGATGTGATTTAAATCATGGAAATTAATATATCTATCATACCATAATTATAAACTATTGCAAATTTCGTCAAATTATTCGTTATTATGAAACTTACAAATAATAACTAACAAATTATAAAGAAAGTCAGATTTATGAAACAAAACGAGCCAAGAATCAACCGAAATTAGGCTGTTTTAAGTCAAAAAAATATTAAACAGTAAAGAAGTTCCTCTGGCGCTTCACCATTATGGTCTATAGTGGTAAAATTCTGCAGATGTGAAAGATCTAAAATAAAGAACTGAGAAATTGCTGGCGAGAAGAAACACAACGATGAAACAACAGCTGATCTAGATAACATTCAAACCCATAAAACCATCTAAGGTTCATTTCTACAATAATTTCATTTTATATAATTTTTGAAAAAGTGATTTTTTTTCCTCTGAAAGGAGTAAAAATACCTGACGGCGAGCTCTACGGAAACCATAGCTCGATCTCTAACGCTCATACCGACTGCCCGGGCCGTCACCATATCCACGAGAGCTGCTGTCTGACCACCGTGTAATGTTTTCTTGCTATTCACATGCTCCTCTTCCACTACAAAT